GAGGAGGAAGGGGCAGAGGATATACACGGCGTTGCAGGTGCCTATCTGTTCATGTGGTTGCGTTGCGGCTCCTCGCACAGGCGGGGGATTTGCACACATGGTGTGTAAAGCCCCTTTTGCCGAGCTTCGTTCGCCACTTGGAGGGGTGAGAGGAGGCGGGGTAGGAGGGCAGGGTCCCCCACATAACATGTTCTTGCCGCACAGATCCAACGCACAGGGTACTCAAGGAAATAGGCGATAGGCCAGATTTCAATATATCTATATAAACATGCAATCATGCATACCTACACCCCTACATACATACAGACGTACATACATGCATCCATACATACACACATACATACATACAAACATGCATACATACATTCATGCATGCATGCAGGCATGCAAGCATACGTACACATACACAGGCACAGACACGTATACATATACCTATACGTATACATATACCTATGCATATACATATTCATATACATGCACCTGAACATACATATATATATGCGACCACATATACATATACATGTACGTTCACAGTTGTATGTGCATAAACATATGTATGTTTATATGCATGTACATGAATCGGCAAGCACCTATACACATACACATACATACGTCAATATACATACATACATATATACGTACACACACGCGAACACGTACATTTTTACATGCATGCATGCACGCATGCATGCATACATACATATATGTGTATACCCATACACGCATACATGCATAAACACACATGCATGCTCATCTATACATGTACGCGCACGTACATACATACATACATACATACATGCATGCATGCATGCATGCATGCATGCATGCATACATATATACATACATACATACATACATATATATATGTGTGTATGTATATATAGATATGTTAGCATCGACGCGGCCTCGCATACCTGTATGCTTTGCTGTCAGCGCCACCTTCGCAAGACAACGCAGACCCTTGTCAGGGTGACAGGGCCATCCACTGGCCGACCGATTCGACGAAGTGTGGCAACGTCTGCGCGTAGCATCGGTCGAGTCGATCATGCACGCCCCAGGAAGGGGGTGACTCCTCTCCTGTGCGGCCGCGGATGAGGCTCGGCTCCGATAGATTCGGCCATGCGGGCGGCCCCGGCAATCTGCGACCAAGGGCAGCCCTTGGACACCGGCGGACGAGCTGGAGGACCCTGCAGACCCAGGGTGCGAGTCAGCTCGTCCCAGAGCCTGGGGGGCGGCTGCGGTGCCCGAGCCAGCGGGCTCCTGGGGATTTCCCAGCCGCCCGCTCCGGCATCGTGGACTTCTCACGCCGCGGGCCTCGGAGCTCTCGCCCCCCTCGCCTGGGCCGGTTGTCGCCGCGGGGCCCTGGGGCCCCAAAGGTGGTCTCGGACGGGCTCGATGTATGTACACCGCGTCGTTTGGTCGGCCAAGGAGCTGCGAAGGAGTTCGGTGTATAGACGCTCCGGCGCCCCACAGGTTGGGAAGCTGGGGCATCTATACACCGAGCTCCTTAGCCGAGCAGACGACTTGGCGTCTACTTCGAGCCCCTCCCATGGCCGGAGGTTGATAAAATCCCCCGACCTGCAACGCTGATTAGCGAATTGCCCGTTTTCGGTTCTTGGGTGGAGGGGGGGCGTTGTGGCCGCATCTGTTGCGGGCCTGCTCGCGCCGGGTCTGGTCCTCGGCCGTTTTCGCGAGTGCGTGTGCGTGTGTGTTGCCGAATTGGGTTTTGTCCACCCCTGAGGTGGCCACAGGAAGCCCAACGCTCGGAATGTTTGGTCTTCGTGTTGTTGGCCCAGCCCTCCTGTGTCGTGCTGTGTCCTCGCTTTGGATCCACCTCGCCGCGCTCTACCTTCATTCCCTCATCCGCGTGTCCGCTTCGACACACTCCTCACACGTTCCGTGGCCCCAGAGCGAGCCCCACTTGCGGTCTCAGTGGGCGCCCGATGTACGGTGCGCGCGCGCCACGAGTGCGGCACACACCTTGCACGCTTCGTGGCCATATAGGAAGCTGCACCGAACGCCCCAGTGGGCGACGGCGCATGGCGCACGCGCCACCAAGTCGGCACACCCCTCACACGCTCCATGGCCCGATAGGGAGCTCCACCTACGTTCTCAGCGGGCACCGACTCATGGCACACGCGACCCGAATATGGCACACCCATCACCCGCTTCGTGGCCCCACAAGGAGCTTCACCTACGTTCTCAGTGGGCACCGACGTATGGCGCACGCGCCCCGCATTCGGCACACCCCTCGTACGCTCCGTGGGCCCATATGGAGCTTCACTTACGGTCTCAGTGGGCGCCAGTGTATGGCGCACGCGCACATCCTTCACACGCTTCGTGACCCCATAGGGAGCTCCATATACGGTATCAGAGGGCGACGGAGTATAGCGCGCACGCCCCGCATTCGGTACACCCCTCACACGCTTCGTGGCCCCATTGGGAGCTCCACCTACGTTCCCAGTGAGCAGCGATGTATGGCGGCGCCGCGCCCATTTCGGCACACCCCTTACACTTTCCGTGCCCCTCAGGGAGATTCACCTCCAGTCTGAGTGGGCTCCACCGCCCCCACTTCGGCACACCTCTCACGCGTTTCGTCCTCCTTGGGCAACTCCATCTACGGCCCCAGAGACAGTCCGTATTTCGGCGCCGCCAATTTCGGCACATCAGATCGTGGTTCCATGGGGAGCTCCACCAACGGCCCCATTTGCAGGGTGCGCATGGCGGCGCAGCCCATACTGGCAAACTCCTCACAAGGATCGTGGCCCCATAGGGAGCTCCACCCACGGCCCTAGCGTGGGGGTCCGCATCGCGGCGCCGCCCATTCCAGCGCACCCATCACGAGGATTGTGGCCTCATATGGAAGCTCCGCAAGCTGCCTCAGTAGGAGGGTCCGCATGGTGGCGCCGTCCATTTCGGCGCACCCTTCGCACCTTTCGCGCCCCATAGGAAGCTCCACCTCTGGCCCCATTTGGCATTTGGGCACACTCGTCACGAGGATCGTCTCCCCACAGGGAGCCCCACCTACGGCCCCAGCGGGAGGGTCCGCATGACAGCGCCGCCTATTCTGGCGCACCTCTCACGAGGATCGCACCCCATAAAGAGTTCCACCTACGGCCTCAGTAGGAAAGTGTGCATGCGTACGTTCCGCCCGTTTCGGCACACCCCTCGCGCGAGTCCCACTTACGACCTCAGTGGGGAAGTCTGCATACGTCTCCCCAAGCATTTCAGTGCACCCCTTGCACATCTCGCGCCCCTGACACGAGCTCCACGGCCGATGTTGGGAAGTTTGCATGCGGCCCCCAACCCATTCGGGTACATCTTTCACAGGCGCCGTACATACGGTGGAAGCGTTTGTTAAGGAATAGTCCCAGGAGGCGCCAGACCCTGGAGGGTTCCTTATCTGATGAGGGCGGCGGTGATATCCATGGCCGATCCACGATTGGAGTTCCACTGACTTCCAGACCCTGGATTTCTGATCGAAGGTTTCCACATCCCGTGCGGCATCTTGCCGAGCGCGGAATGCAGATTTTAAAGCAGTAAAATCGTCGGCTTCGTAGGTCAAGCCACCTCAGGGCTCAACCCGAGGGCAGGTTAGAGGTTTCGCTTTCTCTTGGAGCAACGGTCCCTACCGAGATGCGCTTGCTTTCTGACTCCCCTTTGGACCTGGACCCCATGAGCTAGAAAGGAAAGAGAGATGAGGGCGGCGGTGCTATCCATGGCCGATCCACGATTGGAGTCCCACTGACTGCCAGACCCGGGATCTCTTACCGAAGGCTTCCGCATCCCATTCGCAATCGCCTCACTGGCGAGCGAGTTCAAACATCGTGAACCGGCCCCCTATGCTGCCTATATATATATATATATATATATATATATATATATATATATTATATATAATATATTATATATTATATATATTATATATTATATGTATATATGTGTATAAAAAAAAAAAAAAAAAAAAAAAAAAAAAAAAAAAAAAAAAAAAAAAAAAAAAAAAAAAAAAAAAAAAAAAAAAAAAAAAAAAAAAAACGCATCCCGTGCCCCCCAACCTGGAGAGGCCCACCACCAGCGCCCACACGACGCTGCTCGGGGCTGAGCCCCTCGCCGGGCGACTTGCCCAGCCCGCCCGGGCCTGGGCGCCTGCCCGCCTCGTTCGCGCCTGCCCTCTCCCCTCCTCCCCCCCTTCCCAGTCCTGTTAGGTCGGGCCTGTCCCTCTGCAGGAGGAATCTCCCAAAATAGTCCAGAAATAGTCTGGGAAATATGTTTGACTTCTTCTTATATGGTCCAAAAATAGTCCAAATAGTCCAAAAATAGTCTGGGGACTGTGTTTGACTTCTGTAAAAAAAAATCGGGGGTATTGCTTGACCATCGCTTACTTTGCGTCCAGAACTCGCCTGTAGGGGGACGGGCCCGACCTCACAGTACTGCTCTTCCTCTGATCCTTCCCTCCCACAGCCGCTTCCGACCTCGCCGTGCGCCTCGAAGGGAGCCCACGACCGGAGAGCCCACCCGTGGCTGCGGCAGGCTTCCCCAGAGACCCGGAGCGAGCGGCGAACAGCGTCCAACGGCCTCGAGGTGCGGTGCCGCCTGGGACACCGAGCTGCTCGGCCTGAGGGCCGACCGCCTTCCAAATACACAGAACCCAACAAGATCGGCGAGAACCTCCTCCTCCCACTCCTCCTCCTCCTCCTCCTCCTCCTCCTCCTCCTCCTCCTCCTCCTCCTCCTCCTCCTCCTCCTCCTCCTCCTCCTCCTCCTCCTCCTCCTCCTCCTCCTCCCTCCTCCTCCTCCTCCTCCTCCTCCTCCTCCCCTCCTCCCTCCCCTCCCCTCCCTCCCCTCCCCTCCCTCCCTCCCCCTCCCTCCCTCCTCCCTCCCTCCCTCCCTCCCACTCCCCTACATTTTCTAAATACACAAAACGCTTCTTTTTTGGAAAACAAAACACACTCGAGCTTCGGTCCTCGAGGTTGAGCGAGAGGGCCGCCTGGCCGGCCCCAGGAAGCAGCTGGAAGCGCTCCTCCGCGGCGCGCAGCCAGACACGTACGAGGACTGAGCCAGGGGCCGCCCGCACGCCTTGCGACGACACGGGGAGCTCGGAGGACAAGGGACGGAAGGCCTCCAAGGAGGATGATGTCTCTGGGTAGCTTCTCGTCGTCTTCCTCATCCTCCTCGTTGTCCTCCTCCTCTTCGGAGGAGGAGGAGGAGGAGCACAAGGAGGAGGAAGAGAAGCATGGGGGGCGGAGGAGGAGGCTGAGGGGGAGGAGAGGGAAGCCCGTAGCCACTTTAGATTCGAGTCCGTAGCGGGGGGCTCCGTAATCTAGCATTGCGGCTGGGTGAGTTTTCGCGGCCCCAGGCGTTCTCCATAGTGCAGTGGTGGGGTCTCATGCCCCAAGGCTTTTACGTACCAGCGCTGCGTTTATGGCATCACTGTCTTCTTGTTTATTATGATGGTGGGTGGAATTGTTGAGACCGTTCGACAATTCCGTGGAATCAGGGGAACGAATTATGATTCCACCCTCGCCGTCTCCCGCCGCAGCCGTCGTCATTGGATATCGTTGCTTGTCACTGGACATGCTGCAGCCGTAACTGGCTGCGGGTAGGTATACGAAAGGGGCGCGCCGCCGTCGCCAGTCCTCGCTGGACGGCCGGACCCTTCTCTTACCATACTTACATGTGCGCCTCCGCTTAGCAGGCACACGCATACATACATACATGCATGCATGCATACATACATACCTACGTACGTACGTACGTACGTACGTACATACATACATACATACATACAGACAGACAGACATTACATACATACATACACACCTAGACACATGCATACACACATACATATATACAGTGTATGTGTGTATATGTATGTATGTATGTATGTATGTATGTATGTATGCAATCATGCATGCATGCATGCATGTATTTATGTATATATGTATGTATGTATGTATGTATGTATGTATGCATGTATGTATGTATGTATGTATGTATGTATGCATGTATGTATGTATGTATGCATGTGTATATGTATGTATGTGTGTATGTATGTATGTATGTATGTATGTACGTATGTATGTATGTATGTGTGTATGCATGTATGTGTGTATGTGTGTATGTATGGATGTATGGATGTATGGATGTATGGATGTATGGATGTATGTATGGATGGATTGATGGATGGATGGATGGATGGATGGATGGATGGATGTATACACATGTATACACATATACCTGCACATGAGTGTGTATATATACATATATATATATATACACGGGAGATCCCGGCCCCGGGGCCCCGGGCCAGCCCCCCGCTTACACAGTATTAATACCCCCCCCTCCGGGCGGTTCTCCAGCGAGGCCCCCGCGGCTCCTGGACCGCCCGAGAGCGCTCCAAGAGCGCCTAGGATAGCTTCCAGACCACCCAAGAGGCATCCAGGACGCCCCGACAGGCCCAAGAACGCTCCGAGACGCCCCAGGATTGCTTCGAGAAGACCCAAGAAGCTTCCCAAGAGGGCCTCCAGGAGGCCAACATCGCCCCATTCCCCTCTGGAAGCGTTTTTTTGTTTGTTTGATATGGGTGTGTGTATATATATATAGATACACATGCATTCGTTGTTTGATTTTATCGGAGTCCAAGAGTGCCCAAGAGGCGCCCGAGGGGTCCCCAAGACGGCTCCAGAGGGCCCCAAGACGGCCCGAGAGGGCCCCCAGACGGCCCAATGAACGCCCAATACAGCCCAAGAGAGCCCCAAAAGGGCCCCAAGGGAGCCCAAAAAGGCCCCAAGAGTAGGTCGTGGAGCACTATATTGGGGTGCGTGGCTCCCAACATGCCCTCATGACCCTCCCGGCGGCCTCCAGGACGCGGCCAAGAGGCCCCCACAAGCTCCCGAGAGACCCCCAAGAGGCTCTGTCAGCACATGGAAATGAGCCTCAAGAGGCCGCCAAGAGGGCCCAGAGTCACCGAAATATCGTTCCCACACGCCCAAAATGGCTTCCAGACGGCCCAAAATGCTTTGAACACTGCCCCAGTAGTCTCCAGGAACATTCACAAAAGGGCCACAAGAGGCGACAACCATTGATTATCCGTAGGTTCTTGATGGATGTACGCGTTTCTGCCTTTTCAGCTTTCCGACGCTCTGAGACGGTCCCAGAGGCCCAAAATATCGCCTTAACATTGCCACAGAGGCCCCCAGGACGGCGCCGAGATGGCCCAAGGGGCCCCCCAGACGGCCCAAGAGGGGAGGGAGAAGAGTGGGCAGGAGGAGGAGGAGGAGGACCAGTGGAAACCCAAGAGTCACCAACGATGTTGGAATTGACCCTCTCTCCAAGCTCCCTCTTCATAGGCCCCCACAGCGGTTCATGTCAATTGAGGGAACTGCCTCGTTGGAAGACAACCGTTTGAAGACCCGGAAGCATGCGAAAACATTGTTCTCGGGATTCCAACGCCACGGATCAACCTCATTGTTGCGTACGTATTGACGATCTTGAACCGCGCCAGAACATTATTTTTGAGACTTCAATGAAACGAACCATCATAACTGTTGCACCCTCGTAATCCTGAGTCCGTCCAAAACACCATTTCTGGTACGCTGATCGCGGGAATCCATGAAACTCATACAAATTTTAAAGCGAATGTGCGTGTCCTTAAAGCGAGAACCACAGTTTGAAAGCCACCCGCTCTCAATCCGTGAAGCTTCTGCAACTGTTCAAAACGAATGCGCGCGGCGCGAAAGCGAGAGCCACATTTTGAAAGCCACCCTCCCTCAATCCGCGAAGCTTAAACGAATGCGCGCTGCGCGAAGGCGATAGCCACATGTTGAAAACCACTCGCACTCAATCCGTGAAGCTCTTGCAAATGTTACACCGACTGCGCCCGGCGCTAGGGCGAGAGTCACATGTTGGAAACGACCCGCTCTCAATCCGTGAAGCCCGTGCAATGTTTTAGAACGAATGCTCGCGGCGCTAAGGCGAGAGCCACATTTTGAAAACGACCCGGCCTGGACTTGTGCAATTGCTGTCACCCTTGAGCTTCAAGGTCATCAATGGTGAGGAAGTCTCAGGCGAAACGCCCGGCCCGCCCTAAACACTTGCCTCGGGGTGCGACAGGAAGGAATTATTTATGAGGACAAGAAATGGAGGAGGTGGAGGAAGAGGAGGAGGAGAAAGAGGAGGAGAAGGAAGGAAGGGGAGGAGGAGGAGGGCGAGGAGGAGGATCAGGAGATATGAGGGAACGGTGAGTCAGAGGAGGAGGAGGAGGAGGAGGAGCGGGATGAGGAGGAGGAGTCATAGGTGGAGGAGGAGGTGGCGGAGGAGAAGGAGGAGGAGGAGGAGGAGGGAGGGAGTATGGGGAGAGATATATGATGTTTCGCTCTAGAATTAAGCTCGTCTGGGCGAACGCCTTGAATGCTCACCCAATGGATGGGGTCTTCAGCGGCCTTATTTCTAGATTTCCGCCTCTTCCAGCGGAAGGGGGAGGTTGAAGAAGGAGATAGCGGAGGTGAAGGAGTGGGCAGAGGAGGGGGAGGAGAAGGAGGCAGTGGGGGAAGGGCCGGGCTGGGGGCGGTACTGGAGGATGGGGGCGCTGGAGGTTGAGTGAGGTAGGAGGCGGGAGGGGCGGAGGAGGAAAAAAAAGGCAATGGAGGGGGCGGAGGAGGGGGGGGAGGGTGAGGAGCTCCCCGTGCGATGCCGGGCGCCCGGCAGCCCAGCCCGGGGGCCCGCCTCCGGACTGGACGCGGCGACCCCTCGAGCCGCGGACGCCCCTCGCGGCGTTCGGGGCGGAGAGGCCACGGGGCAGCGATGGCCACCGGGGGAGGGTCGGGCTCGGCGTTCTGCCCCTGATCCCCGTCGCGGCTCCTCAACACCGCCTCGTGCGTTTCCTCACCCTGCCTCCTCCTCCTCCTCCTCCTCCTCCTCCTCCTCCTCCTCCTCCTCCTCCTCCTCCTCCTCCTCCTCCCTCCTGACTCCTCCTCCTCCTCCAACTCCTGCTCCTCCTCCTCCTCTCCTCCCTCCTCCTCCTCCTCCTCCTCCTCCTCCTCCTCCTCCTCTCCGCTCCTCCTCCTCCTCCTCTCCTCTCCTCCTCCTCCTCCTCCTCCTCCTCCTCCTCCTCCTCCTCCTCCTCCTCCTCTCCCTCCTCACACCGCCTCCGCTTCCTTCTCCTCCTCCTCCTCCTCCTCCTCCTCCTCCTCCTCCTCCTCCTCCTCCTCCTCCTCTTCCTCCTCCTTCTCCTCCCCCTCTTCCTCCGCGGCCATTGTGGCTCGAGTCTCCATGTCGCCCAGCGGTCCCATGGAGACCGCTGGGCCGCGGACAGCTGTTGCTGCTCCATTCAAGGGTGTACGGCCACCTGCGCTTCCAACCGCGGGAGTCCATATTCGTTGCGCTGCTGCTGTTTCAGGCGCCGCCGCTGGCATCACATATCCATAAGTTGGCAGTCGAGCGTCTCATGCCTGGCGCCGCGGCGGACAGTGTATCATCGTGTGCTCCTCCTTCGTGGACACCATGCATGGCGTCGCCACAGATGCACCATCCGACGACGACGTCGGAAGTGGTAGATCGCAAACGCCCCTAGTTCAAGAGCGCAGTGCATTTCGCAGTGGAGGAGACCCTCGTTCGCGTCGCAACCATGATTACGATCGATCCGAACCTCATTGGTCAAAGCGGGAAAACTGTAGTGGTGCTTGTGTTCCTCGGCCTGGACGTCTTCGCCACCGCGAGCCTCATCGTGCCGCCCAGCTGGTAGTGTCGCCCTGCCCGTCCTCGTGAGCCCGCTCGACCCGCCGCTTTCTCGCCTGACCTTGCTGATGGCGCCGCACAGCCGCAACATGTACATCCACCTGGAGAGGCCACTGGATTGTTGACGACTGGCGCCGCACTGGCTGTTGCGACGGGAGGATTCGATGATGCCCCCACCTTCCCGTCGGAGGGAAACGACTTGGCGACGCTGCGGGTACAGCAGCAGCAGCCGCAGGTCCTGGTGCAGATCCCCTTCACCCCGCAGATCCTTGGCGTGAGGCACGTGCCGCAGCTGATGTTGGAGCCCGTGCAGCCGCTGCACGTGGCTCCCTCGAGGCAATCACAGAATCGCTCAACGCGCAGTTCAC